GAGGACGAGGGTTGATGTGGATCGGGAGATGACGATTGAATCAGGAAGAACGTCTTTTTGGTAAGTAAGCAGGGCATATACACAAGCGAAAGGAGGAGGCAGTCTGCGATCGGAGGAAGTCATGATGAGTCTCTACGATGCGAGCGGGCTTCTATGCGGAAGAAGGACAAAGGAACATAGATTGGAGTCATCTCGTCTTCGCTTCGGAGGCATGTATTCTGCGATAGAGGGTGGCGCGTACCATTGTTCAGCTCGATTCCCTACTATCCTTGGCGTGTTTGTCTAAGGCGATCGTATACTCAGCGCAAGAGCCTGGGGCGTGTGGTCCAGGATAATTTTGCCATGAGCTTGATTCCTTTGTTCGCTGACAATCAATCATTGAGTCTCAGTCGCCCAACCCGTGGACTTATGGGTCGTTGTGATGAATGAGGAGGTCGAGATGAAATACTTTGCTTAGTACTGTTCCACGAAAATACGCAAGCGAGGCCATCCCTAACTAAGAAGCTCCGTTGGGTGTCTATTAGGATTAGCTGACTGCGGGTTTGAAGGTCTGTCGGGGTTCCTTTGAGTATAGTAGGTTTGCATTACTCTCAACGTTGAGGACGCGGCGCCACACCTAGCTCCGCGCTTACATGCGGCACGACCTTCTCTCCACCCCACGTCCGTTTGACCAAAACGCGTCGGAACCTGGTAGTTATTGCTCGTTACGCTGTATTTTGCCTATCTGCTAAAGCACTTTCGTGCCATGTAATCTTTCTGGGAAACGACTTCCCTTCTTGCAGAATGTGCTGCGTCTAGCGTGAGTGCCCAGTTCCAACGGGCATCTCAAAATCGCGATAAATTGCGTCCTGAACAATCTATCCAGATGAATGAGGGGAAAGGCGACTACGTTTTCGAGGAAGAACTATAAATTAGATGGATTGTTGATGCGCTCCCGGTCCCAAGCACATGTCGGGTGAGTCGATATGGACTCAGAGGGGGGGGGAGTAAAAATAGCACATTGAAGATGTCATCATACACAGTGGACAAATGACACAGGCTGTGAGGTCTACCGGCGTGCCTCTGTAACGATTGACAGACACGCATAATTAGTTCAACAACTTCTATTACTTGTGTGTATATCTCCTACAGTTTCACAATTATCTACCAACTCTGCATTTGCTGCAGCATTCGATAGGGCATCAAGCACTGCATCCCTTAGAAGAGCAGGCTGGCGCCGTTTCCTCGACTATGCACTCCGTGTATATTTCGCGAAGCTCATGTGGCCTGTTGCCGTTTCGAGACAGTGTTGCAGAGGACAGACATTCCATTCGGGGCTGGTATGTATCCGCCTTCTGTAATTTACCATGTGCACGCTGGCCCACGTTGTACGTACGGAGAGTCTACCCGCGACACTGGCGCTGCTATGCCATCCCGACAGGACAAGCAATTCTCCGTGTAATGGTTCGCTATGCGCGGGATGACCAGGCAAAAGAGGGGGGGGGGAACAGCTCCGTTAGTCCCACGCCATGTCTGAGTCACAAGTCATCTGGTCGTAGGCGTTCGTTGGCACTCATGCGCATCCACAGGAATTGGTGGAGTACGATTCCATTTCCATTAAGATCAATATGTACACAGTGTCACGACTTCGCCACAGCGTGAACTATACGTCCTCAGAGTCACCGCCAGAGGGGGGGGCGTCTGACGCACAGACCCCACCACGCTTACCCAAGTAAGACAAACACCGACTATGATTGTAGTATTGCGGGTCACTGAGCCACCGAACAAGCTATCAGTTGTTCGTAGCGGCGTTCAGCAACAAATATTTTCAGTCTGTAGTTCATATAATACCATCTGTCTAGCAGTATATCAATAATGTGTCATAACATCACAGTGTGTATGGCCTGACAGTTTGTGCGCATATTCGAGTACACATTGGGGTATATTAGATCTAGATGCGATATCGACGCCCAAGAAATTCTTTGAGCAACAATATAGAGACGGGATATTGACTGCAGTTGTATTGACCGTGAATGACCACAGTATGTCTTGAAAGTTGTGTGGTGAGTAAGTTCAGTCTCGGCTACGACAATCCTGCCACAACTCTCCATGAGCAAAATTACTTAAATCAAGTTGCAAGCCACTTGAAGGTATAACCATGGTGGTGACTGGTGTGTGCATGGTACGCTGAAGGTGAGGTGGGACCCAGAATAAGAGTCGGCCTTCGGGGCCAATCAACCAACCAGCATCATTAGGGAATAACGAAGGTGGTGGAGAGCCCTGCAGAAATGAGGCAGGAGAACCAAGACTGTGGGCAAGATTCAACGAGAAACATATTCCGCGATGGCCGGGGAACACTACCGGCGAGACAGCCGTGGAATTCTGCACAAGTGTAGCTAGTGTGTACTCATTAGCACTGAAAAACGAGAAAGACAGAAAGACGTACTGCTCCTCTTACCCTGAGCCTGAATCGTCTCGCCAACAGAATCAGACATGGCGCATTGGGCATCATGCGCGATAGAGTTAACAACTCCCGTATGCTCCTCCAGAAATGGTCCTATTAGTTGTAGCTCAGGCTCCGCGTCCCATACACGGATCACGTTGTCATAGGATCCGGATACGATACGTCGGCCATCGTGCGAGATTGCAACTGACAAGACAGGCCCTGTATGACCCTCGAGAGGAGAGCCCAATTGCTGCTCGGTCTTCATATCCCACACACGGATTGTCTTGTCATACGATCCGGATACGATGCATCGGTCATCGTGCGAGATTGCAACAGACGAGATGATTCCTGTATGCCCCTCGAGAGTGGAGCCTACTTGCTGCCTAGTCTCTATATCCCACATACGGATCGTCCCATCACTCGATCCGGATACGATGCGTTGACCATCGTGTGAGATCGCAACAGACAAAATGAGCCCTGAATGCCCCTCTAGAGGACAACCCAATTGCTGTCTAGTCTCCACACTCCACACGCGGATTGTTTTGTCATCCGATCCGGATACGATGTGTCGGCCGTCGTGCGAGATTGCGACAGACCTAACAGTGGATGTATGCCCCTTAAGAGGGGAGCCCAATTGCTGTACAGTCTCCATATCCCACACACAGATCGTCTTGTCATAGGATCCGGATACGATGTGTCGGTCATCATACGAAACTGCCACGAAGCTGACAGGTCCTGTATGTCCTTTTAGAGGGGAGCCCAATTGTCCAACCTCCATATCCCACACACGGACCGTGTTGTCACGCGAGCCGGATACGATGCGTCGGCCATCGTGCGAGATTGCGACAGACCCGACAGGTCCTGTATGCCCCTTAAGAGAGTAGCCCAGTTGCTGTCCAGTCTCCATATCCCATACACGAATCGTCTTGTCATCCGTCCCTGATACGATGCACCGACCATCGTATGAGATTGCCACAGACATGACAGATCCTGTACGCCCCTCAAGAGGAGAGTCCGATTGCTGTCCAGTCTTCATGTCCCACACACGGACCGTGTTGTCATACGATCCGGATACGATGTGTCGGCCATCGTGCGAGATTGCGACAGACCAGACAGACCCTGCATGCCCTTCGAGCGGGGAACCCAATTGCTGCCCAGTCTGCATATCCCACACGCGGATTGTGTTGTCATCCGACCCGGATACAATGTATCGGCCATCGTGCGAGATTGCGACAGATCCAACAGGTTCTGTATGCCCCTCCAGAGGGGAGCTCAGTTGCTTCCCTGTATCCATATCCCAGACACGAATCGTCTTGTCGTGCGACCCGGAGACAATACGTCGGCCATCGTATGAGATCGCAACGGACCAGACTCCACCTGTATGTTCTTGGAGAGGGGAACCCAGTTGCTGTCCAGCCTCCATATCCCACACGCGGATCGTCTTGTCAAGCGATCCGGATATGATGCGTCGGCCATCATACGAGATTGCGACAGACATGACAGGTCCTGTATGCCCCTCGAGAGGGGAGCCCAATTCCTGCCTGGTCACCATATCCCATACACGGATCGTATTGTCACGCGATCCGGATACGATTTGTCGGCCATCGTGCGAGATTGCGACAGAGCTGACAGGTCCTGTGTGCCCCTCGAGAGGGGATCCCAATTGTTGTCCGGTCTTCATATCCCACACACGGACCGTCTTGTCATGCGATCCGGATGCGATGTGTCGGCCGTCTTGTGAGATTGCGACAGATATGACAGGACCTGCATGCCCTTCGAGAGGGGAGCACAATTGCTGTCCGGTCTCCATATCCCACACACAGATTGTTTGGTCATCCGATCCAGATATAATATGTCGGCCATCGCATGAGAATGTAACAGACGTAACATTGGATGTGTGTCCTTGAAGGGTACTCTGGAAAGATGACCATTCATTCATCCCCCCAGTAGCCACTGTGATACCTCTAGTAAATTTAGCACAGCGTGCTGAAATACGAGATAGAGCTGGAGCAAAAGGGAGAGCAGACAGATAAAGATGCGGTGTGCTATACAACATTGGCGCAGCAAACATGCGAATGAATCGTTCGGTGTCGGCAACGGCTGCCTTGAGTTGTGTGTAATTGTGATCCTTCTGTGATGATGACCTGAGCCAGTATTAACGGTAGTGATCACAAGACGACATACCTGAGACCAAGACCATAATGTAGACAGCATCGAAGCAGGACCACTGAGGCTCTTTAAAAGACAGAGAACTTCAAGCCAGTAGAGCATCCGCTCACCATCGAGCAAGTAATGCACTTCGTCTGCCAGCGATGAGTGGAAGGATGCGGCCGTAACATGAGTAATCCAGAATCGAGATGAATATTGTAACTCAGGCATAATAGACTCTTTTATGCGTTTCTGCAGGTCAATGACAGACGAGTTGGGGAGGTAGGAGCTCTCTAGATGGCAGATGTTGAAGCGGAGTTGGACTTTCATGAGACGCAGACATGCAGTAGCCAGCCTGTAGTGATGTACAGCTGATTCCCCGACAAAGAAGTCACCACTTCGATCCCTGTCCGTCAAGAAATCATAAAAGGATGCGTGAAGAGGCCGTATAGGTATTTGAGTATCTGTGACGCCAGTGAGTAGTGCGCCCAAAGGAGTGAGGATGAATTCAACGTCGATGTCCTGCTGCTCTTGGTCAATGCCATCAATGCATGGTGAATAACGCTGAATCGTGTTCAGGACAGTCCTCGAAAGCGGTTCCAGCATGGTAACAATCAAGCCCATCACAGTGCAAAACATCGGAATGGCGTCCTTTCGTTCATCCTCTAGTATAACGTCTGCCAAGATGCGCTTGTACATAGAATCCAATAGTGTTGTCCTCTTCGTTGGCTCATCGGAAACCACACTCTTGAAACGGGCCTTGGGTTTCTGGCGCACTGTGTTCCTGCCTTTGATATATTCGCATGCTAAACGAGACCATTCGAAGAGGCCATTAGCTCGCTTCGCAAGTGCTCTGCAGTCATCTCCATCGAACTGCAGCTCTTTCAGCCTGCTCGAGAAATAGCATTCAATATCATAGTCAACGGTATCCGACCAAGGCGGTTCGTCCAAACTAACGTGCCGAATGTGCGACAGGCCATGCAGAGCACCATGAATGTCTTCGAGAGGGCGGGATGTGACCAGAATACGTATATTCGGGGGCATGCAAACCAAAGGCTGGGAAGAGACATCCTGTCTCCCTGTCAGCAGATGAAGGATTTGTTCACGGGTATCGCTCTCGCCACTTTCGTCCAATGCATCGATAATGACTAGGATGGGAGCTTCAATAGCTTCTGACGCCACGTTGATTGGGCCAAGGAGAAGCTGGATCCATTGCCTTCTGATGTCGACGGTGTGCTTGAGCTCGTTGTTGTCTTGGATAACACTCGCCAGCGCCCTGCGTACAAGCGGATTGTGGTCCGCCAAGTCGCGCGCGATAGTCGTAAACAGTTTTTGAGAAAGCCGTTCTCCCTTCCGGGTTTGATCAAAGCAAAAACACGACCCGAGACTTCCATGTTCATCGGACCAGCCAGCTATGGTGTGTGCGACCGTTGATTTACCTGTCCCAGCCATGCCGGATAGCCAGAAAATTTGCTGTGCATTTGACGCAGTATCGATAACCCAGTCTTGGATCTCGGAGAGGATCGCTTTCCGAGTGTCAGGAAGGCACTGCTTCAATGTATTTCGCCCGACACCCCCTGCATACTCCAGACCACTGAGATCCAAATCCTCAGCTAATGCGTTGATGATCAGAAAGTCTTAGCACAACATAGTGATAAACGCACCGGCTCTACATGTGAAGATGGCAACATCACGGATGACATTGTCTCGAAACTGCTGCATGAGATTGTCAATAGCCCGACTATAGCCTTCAATCGCTGTATTTGTATCTCCCAGTACATTTCTACTCGTCCTCATCCCTGTTTATGGAACTATGTTAGACACAAAAGATGATACGGTGCTGCAGACACACAGAAATTTTTCGTCTCCACGTAACGAACGATGAAGTTGACACAATCCATCACTTGACGTGACAGCCTTTCTAACACCAACGCTTGCGTGGCGGGCATGGGACTCCAATATTGTGTTTCTGTGACAAACCCATAAACTTCTGACACTTTAGAAAGTAGTGAACGAACAGCTGTGTCCAGATTGATCTGATTAAGAATCATCTAGGTGTCGAGCATGAACAGGAGTGCTGGACTTGAAAAAATGAGATCGGCAGACCTTGGATGCGCCTTTGAATATGACGAGCGCTATCTGCGCGTATGGATGAACCTGCGCAGAACGGTGAATACGAATCACCAACTCAAGACTAATCATACCTTTGCGATGGCATTCACCACCAAATTAAACGCCCTAAGCGCTGCGAGTGGTGCAACGAGAGGATCAATGGTATCCAGCATCAATCCAGCATTATCAATTGCCGTTACAACTGTCGCAGCGATATTAGATTGCTTGATGCCCTCGACGTCGGCAGCAGCTTGTGTAATTGCCCCTTTGATGGCGATGCGGTCAAGTGAGTCAGCGTCACGTTGAAGGTTTGCTTCGGTGGCAGAGGCAGCGTGGGGTAATGGGATCTGCAATTGCTATCTAGAAATACAATCTGTTGTCAAGCGCGCACATGCACCCACCTGAGCAGACTCCTCTGGACCTGGATGGGGGGAAGGTTCTCTGCTTCGACCAAGGCGCTTGAGAAATCCATCCAAAGACAGGGATCCTCGAGAATTTGAGGGAGCGATATGCTAGTGGATACGTTCAGCACGACGTCGCAGTAGCTTCTTAAAATAAGCATGGTCATACCTCCGACTCGTTCTCCGCGGCAGACACATACCCGCTCCCTCCAATTTGTGTTAGATGAGCATCTGATCGGGCTTTCTTCTCCTTGGGCCACTTAGACCGCATCCATGGGGGCCTAAACTTGTCCATCGAGCAGGGTCGCGAGTTGTTTGGTCAAAAATGGCAGTAGATGTCTATGAAAGCAATGAGTCGACAATGGGAAGAAGGAAGAAGGACAGGCGTCTCGATGAACGTGTCCTTGGATCTCACAGCTGATGCGTACAGTACAGTACAAACAAAGCCAAGATGGGACTCACACGGCCATGTTATGCCATCAACATGCCCATGACTTGCTTTAGGCGGCATCAAATAGTCTGAAATTAGTGTTTGGTTTTGTAGCATCACGAGTTCAGTAAAGCGCTGATCACACCTCTTGCATACTGAGTCGCCAAATGCTTTGATAGTGCTGGCTTTTGAGAAGTGGCTTATGAGCGAAAATTTTGATACGGGACATACCTGATATGAAACTGCTCCTCCCATCACCATAATTCAAACAAAACTGCGACCGGATTCATCAATACACTCGGTCATTTTGAAGCATATCGTTGAATGTCTGCGAATGCTGTTACCGAAGTTGAGTGACACTTTTTAAGCGATCATACGGCACTTACTGAGAGCACAGTAGCCTGAATGAGAGCAAGAGCTCGACTTCGCATTAGAGAAAGGACCGAAATACCATCACGGCGAGCCCCAGCCTGGAGAAAATACAGGGAGAAGATTAACAAAGAAAGTAGACAGACGTGGAGTAAATTATCGTTTAGGAGTCAGTGAAGAAGGCAGCTTGGAATCGGTTGCTGCAGTTAAGGCCTGAGGTCGCAACTGGTCGCAAGGACTCGGAGCCAAGCGCGCAAGGCCTGTTTGGTTTCGACCTTTCCAACTGGAGTCTCCTCCTGCCTTCGAGGCCGACCTTCGCACCTTCGTTCACCATCACTACAAGTCCCCTTTCATTCGACTCCACGACTCTCCAATTTACCGGGAAACGCAAAGCTTAGATGATGGAACGAGTCTAAGTCGACATATGGGTACCTTGGAGTTTGGGACGTGTCTCGTCGGCTAAATGAGTGCGTTGTTCCGTGTTGTTGTGCAGTAGTCTGGGAAGACTCGGTCTCCTGTTCTTGATCTGCTTGCCCGACGTCTTCACCGTGTCTTTGCAGGGAAAGCGGAGCTCAGGTTGCACTTAAGCTTGACCTACGTCTTCAGGCTCAGCTCGCAGATTGGGCTGTTCTAGGTATCTATAACCAGATGTCGCATGCATCCGAAAAGATTCTGTACCTAAGGCCATTATTACTTTGACGTAGTAGTAACGGAAGGTATGTACAGGGTTCGATTGCAACGTAATTGACGATAGACGTGGTACCAGTTTTCACTATCCTATCACCATCCTATTCCTGCTTGCCGCGTGCAACCACTTTCACTGACATGTTCCATTCGCTCGCAGGTCTAGGCAATAATCCAATCATTCGTAAGCAAGACGTTCTATGGATATCCTACGCACGCCTGACCCACGAGCGGGCCAACCCACTCCACCGCAATCAACAATGGACAAAATAGCACAAATCCCGTGCACTATATAATGAGTTCTCTACAGGAACATAGTTGCATCATATACAACAAAGCTAACGCCCACAACCCTCCAGCGACCCCGGTCATGACACACGGAGTGAGCAGCTCGCGAAGTTGGAGTGTCCAAGCCGGTGACAGGGATGGAGTTTCATCCAGGCCTACAGGGAACCCTTCGTGCTGCATCAGCAGTCCTTGCCGTACCTAAGGGCTACCATTGCGTCGCCGTTGATATTCTCCTTCAAACCTCCACCAACCGTGGACTTCGAAAGCTACGGGAACGACGCACCAGACACAATTTTCTTACATATAATACCATGATAACATTGCTCTCGTCGGCGATGCCGACAACGCTGGAATGCAAGACAGAGGGTCCACAAACGGATGAAGGCTAGGAATGTTCATTGATGCGTCGCTCAGGTATAGAGCCTATCTTCTTGCGTCCCCCGAAATGATCTTGTTTGTCGTGGGCACAGGTAGCATTGTGACTTCATAAAGTGCTACAATGAATATGGAGATGTGGTACAAATGTCACCAGTGAGAGCTGCGCTTCACGCCCACGCGTGACTAACGCATCCTGCTTTTCTTCTCCTCGGATTCCGTTCAAATAGCCCCGTATCTTTGGGTGTTCGAAGTCGGGCTGGGCTCCCGCAAGCAGGGAAGCCAGAGCGGAGTCGGGAAGATGGCTCTGCTGTTGAGAGTAGGCCAGTGCGGCTGTACTGGTTTTTATCCAGAGATACTGGATAGAGAGGCACTGTTCCAGTGTACGGATATCTGCATGCGATCAGAAAAACGTAGTAAAGCTTAGGGAGGGCACGATCGGAACCTCCTTGAGACCTCCGGGAACTCAAGCAGGCTTTGCGACGCAGCTCTCCACAACAGGAGAGCAAGATAATGTGTGATCTCCTTCCTGCTCCTTGAGCTCGAGCACGAGTG